CCAATTTCTGCACAGTTGAAGTACAATATCGATGTTGTGGCTGAATATATAGTAAAGAAGATTCCTATTCCAGAAAGGAACTTCATTTCACCGCCAAATATGATTGTTATTCGATCTTTTGATGTCAATAAGCCTGGTTTTGAAGTTGATGAGATTAAAGGTGGTGTCGCTGGTGGCAGTATCTTGAAGGTATTTCTTACTTTTCAGTAAGCATTTTAGTAGGCATGTAGGACATATAAACCATAAATGCTCAGTAAAGATGTTAAGAATTTATTGATTTCTGCATGCAGGGTGTGTTGAAAGTAAACCAATACATTGAGGTTCGTCCTGGTATTGTTGTAAAGGATGAGAATGGCAACATCAAGTGTACACCAATATATTCCAGAATAGTGTCATTGTTTGCCGAACAAAATGAACTTCAGTTTGCAGTGCCAGGAGGCCTTATTGGAGTTGGAACCACTATGGACCCTACATTGACTCGTGCTGATCGATTGGTGGGTCAGGTTCTTGGGGAAGTTGGGTCGTTGCCTGAAGTTTTTGTTGAACTGGAGGTAAGAAGTTGCTTGAGAAGAGAACGTAATGCAGTTTAATACTTGGAACGTTTTTGAGAGGCTTTATTTAATGTTGTAGCTAATGTTTCTGTCAGTTGATTTAGTGCCTCCTGCAAAATTCTTCCCGTGTTGCTTTCCCTTTAATTGATTTGGCATGGTGCTCTTATTGATCGCCTTAATGTAATTGAGTTGATGCAGGTAAACTTCTTTCTGCTCCGGCGGCTTTTAGGCGTCCGGACAAAGGATACTGAGAGACAGGGTAGAGTCTCAAAGCTAGCCAAGGGAGAGATCCTTATGTTGAACATAGGGTCTATGTCAACAGGGGCTCGTGTTGTTGCTGTGAAGAACGTATTTGCAAAATTACAACTCACATCTCCTGTCTGCACCAGTAAAGGGGAGAAAATTGCCCTCAGTCGCAGAATTGAGAAGCACTGGCGTCTTATTGGCTGGGGCCAAATTCAGGCTGGTATAACTCTGGACGTCCCACCCTGCCCTATCTGAGTGAATTAGACGAACAACCACTTACAAAGGAGAGAAGAAAGCAACTGAAACAGTTGAGAGAACTACGGATTAGATGTGGGAGGGCAGGCAACTGCAGCAGGGAACAGTTTTTGTTTGTTGGCGGAGAAAAGAAAATGTTTCAGAATTTTGGATACTTGATTATTATTCTGTGCTGTTTCGGCCACTTTTTATCTTTGTGCAAGAGTCTGTACCTTATCTAATTCTTTATTAGTTGTTGCGTTGATGATTGGATATTGTTACGTATAAGAAACCAACATTTTGGGAGGAGCCTCGATATCCAAAGCAAACAATGCTGCTGTTTGTATCATACCTCCCCTGTTTGACCGGTGGTCTGTGTCGTCAGCGTGTTGATGGGAAATGAATGCCAATAATGATATGATATGGTAAAAGCATTTTTGATATGTCGATTAATTCCCACATCTCAGACTCGATGCCTAACTATGCACATTTCTGAAATAGGGCTCGCAACGGTCGTCTATCTTTTAATGATTTGCTACTGGACTGGAGGGCTCACTGCCGTCGTCCAGAGATGAGCCATAGAAGAGTACAATGATTTGTAGTGTTCAACCAAATTGTCTATGCATTTCTTGAATGGTCTTTCGATGCTGTTAAATTCTTTCCTCATCTTTTTCCCCTGAAGTTATTGGATTTGCCAGTAAAAGGGTGAATGAGCCCATGACTCATTCATTATTCAGGCAACTTCCACCTTATTATGCACTTACTTGTTTCGAACTTCCCATTTACGAAACAGATACTCTCATCATATATCAACAGTGACAAAGTTGCCTTCCCTCCAATTTGCACCTGTATAGGTAGCACCATACTGAAGATTGTAAATTTGTCCCTCCTTTTTGTTTGGAGATCAAAATTACATGATGTAAGTTCTTTGATGCATATTCGTAGGACCACCTGGAATTGTGAAAGCCACAAACTCGTCGCAAAACAGTTTCGATCACAGGGTAAGAACGCGGGATTCCAAAAGGACCACCTTAACTTCAACTTTCTTCGTTTCTCCTACAATCTTATACTATATTTACCAAATTCTCTTAGGTAATATAGATGCAAGTGGTGATGTAACACAGCCCAATCTCAAAACTAAGCACTGTCACTGTTGCAAGGGTGAAATCAATTCGAAGATTTTCAAAGAGCAAAGCTAAAGTAGGAAGTGTTTTGCTCTTGCTTCTCCCAATTGCAGCAACTTGGACCATCTACATAATGATTAATTTGCTTTCTGGAGTTGAAAGTGCAGTTTTCATCATAACATGCCAAGAGACGCATGCCATTGAAGCTTAGGACCCTATTAGAAGTCTCATAGGGTGAAGACCACGAAGGTGACATGCATGGCGATGATTAACTTACATTCTTCTATCGTGAATATGACTGTTCAAGAATGAAGGCAAAAAGGAAACAATTGTTCTTTTTGACTTCAAATGCAAGTGATACAAATTCTCTACTCCATCTTCATTTTGACAAGTATCAGCCATATGAAATTACGGCCATGCATTTTTTGCAATAACATGGTTCCTCCCTCCTATAAATTGGCCACTTTGCATAGGGCTTGTCATCCCACCAGCCAAACCACAGATTCCTGCTAGAAACCTCTTTGCAATCTACATACCAACCATGGCTATAAGGTCCATTCTCTTCATTTCCTTGGCGGTTGCTATAATGGCAATCCCAATTGCAGAAGCCCAATTAGGAGGACTCATCAGTGGCCTCCTTGGTTCTATTAATGTCAAAGGCATTGTATTTTGCACTCTTGATGGCAACATTGGCATCAATGGCACCGCTACCCCCGTCTTTCCGAGTAAGTTTTGCCTTGTTAGTTCAGAGGAGAAACACATGGTTTCCTAGTGGTTTAGTTTCACGCTACCCAATACTAAACCATGCATGCATAAATGTTACTACAATTTTTTTGTTTTGTTTTTTCGGTTCTGGACAGATGCATTAGTGCAATTGCAGTGCGGAAATGGAGATGTGGTGTCTACTACAACAACGAACAGCGCAGGAGTGTTTGGTTTTGTCTTGGATCCTCTTCAAATGTTACTTTCTTCTTTAATAACCAATTGCAGCGTGGTTGTGAAGACTCCACTCTCAACATGCAACGTCAACCTGCCATCGGTCGGAGGCCTACAATCACCACTCAAATACGTGGGAGACACCGTTCTGGGACTCCTCAACATCGCAAACTTGATTCCTTCAGGATTCCGACTTATTCCTGGCCTCGCCAACTAGTGCAACCTGGCATGCTTGAATCAGGATTAAGGATGTGTGTTTCCTTATGTATAATTAATTAGTAATAAAACTGTGTGACTGTTTGTCTTCTTATCTGGATTGTTAAAGTCCCTCTCTCTGAATTTTCTGCATTATATATATGTATTGCCGATGATCAATTGTAATTTGCAAGCTTGCAATATAAGTCATGTTTTCTTTTCTAGTTTATAATTTGTCACTGCACGGCACAGTTTTTTGTTCTCCTTTTTTTTTTTTCTTTTTTTTGTGTTGGTTTGTGGGCTTCAAGAAATTCCATGGAATGCTGACTAAATCAAATAACAATATTGAACTACATTTTACAAGAAGAAGTTTTTGTTCCAACCTTGTAAGGTTACATCTTAAAGTGCAATTTCAGGTGGTTTTTGAGCCAAATTCCGGAAGGGAAACAATTAAATTGAAACAAGAAGTGGAAAGGCTCAAGATATGCTCGACCTTGTTTAATCTGAATTATGGAAATCTATAATAGTACTACTATTCGTAATCTATGCTACTGCAGGAATGATTGTGTGACGAGCAATTCACTGATTTTGGAGAAGGAATTGTTTCAATACCGAGGTAAGACAAATTTCATATAGTCTTGGTCAGAATTTCATATATGAAAAACGTGGGGATGAAATCTTTTTTTTGGATAAGTAAAAGAATCTTTTGGCACAAAGAACCATGAACTAGACATTAATAGAAGAGAAATACAGAGCGACTCGAATAACTTGAAAAAGGGGGAAATGAGGAAGAAAGAAAGCCATAAAGTAAAGTTAATTAATTTTGTTATTGGGAGTCACAAAGTAACTGCAAACTCTTTTTTTTTTTTTTTGGTATCTTTTCTGGGTATATTACTTTATATGCAAATTTTGTTGTTACTTGATGCAAGAAGATTTTGTTGTGATTTATTTACTTGATTCGGGAAGAGTTTGCCGTGATTTACTAAATGCAAGAAGAATTTGCCAACATAATAGCTGACACGTAAGTGCATGTTTGGCTCTCTTAAGTGATCTATATCCTCACAGTTAATCAAGGTTTTGAGGGCACAATACGTAAGTTTTGAGCGAAGCACAAAACATCCTAATCAATCAACTATCCCAACTCCCAAGTTTAGTTTAAACTTAATGAGCACAGAAATCTAACTATGATAGTTGAAAGCAAACCCTAGTCCAAGAGCAACAATGTGACATACTTTTCTTTAACAAATGAGGAGGAAAAAAATGCAGAGTGATATACTTTTCACCTTCAAGTAAGCTACAAGGAGATACTAAAAACAAACCATACACAAGGGCTTCAAACATCTTTTGGTTTTAGAAACATAAAATTAAACGATGTTAAGCTCATGGTTGTAGGCCCTAAAAATCGATTTTGAAAACCTTCAAGAACCAGAGAAAATGCTTAACTTGGGGACAGTTAATTAATATTTACAGAGATTCAATTCATCTGCATAAATAAAGCTTGTACCATTGACATTACCAATTTGTGCTTCTCAAAGACGTAGAAAACTTGAACAACTAATTTTGCACATATTCGGTGCATCGTGTGATAATATTTTTTATTTGCTGTGGGGCAACTAGCTCGGAGACATTTCCAATCACAGATTAGTTGGATGCATGATGTGTCATGATCTTATTGACACGGCTTAAATCTAGAACTTGTTCAAAGCAAATTATCGATTGGATTACTTCACATCCGAAGGCCATCTTTCTCCTTCTATATATGCCTCGCAATCTAGAACTTGTTCATGTTTTCTCTTTTGAAAAGCTCCGCATCAATTTAGTCTTCAAATGATTCGCTCTCTCTCCCCCGCCAAGGTCTTTGCTTCTCTACTCAACCGGTGAGTATATACACACAACCGAGATTTATTTATGCAATATATAGATGCATCTCTTTTTATACCTTAATCGTACACAAGAAAGGAAAAAAAAAAAAAAGAAGCATATGCAGCTAGGTAGTGTTATACATCATGCCGCTGAATGATGCATCATTCTTTCCTATGACAAGAAATTGCCTTCTCATCAGACGACATAAAATGCGGGACAATTTTTAAGTGCTCAAGAAATGTTAATGCATCATCCGAGGTGAATTATAACAAGACAAAAACTCTGTCTCCAACGCTCGATCGACGTGCCAAAAGAAGTTGGATACATAATAATATTATATAATCATTTCTCAATTTTGATGATCCAAAAATATAATACACTCTTGATTTGAGATTGTAATAATTTGTGTACCTCAAACTCAAAAATCATGGTTGTATTTTGTGGCATATATAATAGGAGAGGTTATGGCGTTGCATCGAGAGGTGGCGTTTGGGTGACAAGCCCAGAAGAATCAGGATCTAGGATTCAAGATCTTGGTGTCAAAGCAGAAGATAAAGATGCTGCGAACATGGAGGAAAAGTCCGGGGTCCTTTCTGCATGGACCCCGGACCCCGTTACCGGATTCTACAAGCCTTGCAACAGTTTGGATGAGGCAAATCCAGCTGAGCTTCGTAATATGGTCTTCAACCAGCACAGGGTCAATAAGCCACATGATTGAAGACGGGTTGCATTGTTATGAACACCATCGATGCTAGTTGAATACGTGGCAGCGATCACTGTCTCTTTCAAACACAAATTAATGCACTCTCTTCTGTGATCTCTCTCGTCATAGCCTACTCATGTGTGTATGAAATTATTTCCGTACAGTTGCTGTTCAAGATGAAGAGAACCAGCAAAGAAATGACAGCATGAAAAAAAAAAAAAATAATCAAAGTTGTAAGTTCTTGATTAAAATTAAACGGGAAAAAGAAATTCTCAATCAATAATATTTCCTTTCAGTGCCATGCCGTTTGTAAGTTGGTGATTTGAAATTTGTTGAACCCTTTTCATTTAACGTCAACGAGACTGCGACTTGATTGTTTCTGTAATAATTGTACTGTATATATATTACCATGAGCAGAAATCAATCCTGAATCCCTCTTGCATTTGCAGCCCTAGTTTGCCCACTCCTCCAACCATCTCCTTCCTACGTAACTGGAGCATCATAAATAGTAACGCTAATACTGAAAATGCAGAGGCCCAATTTACGCACAAAGTTTACGGGCCTTTTAGGTATTTTGGGCTTCCTAATCGGAATTGAATTTGGGCTTTCTAACCAAAATTGATGGGCCTAAATTCAATACCCAACAAGTAACGAATTCCTCCAATTTTGGTCAGTAGGTGCTACTACAAGTTCTTTTTTTTTTTTTTTCAATCAAGAGATATGGTCATTTTTGTTGCCAAAAAAAAAAGGGAAAAAAAGCTCTAAGATGGTGTATATTAGAACTTGGACTCAGTCCTCATTCCTAATAATGGTAACATACGTAAAAAGTTGTTTGGTTTAAAGATGAGGAGAAGTAGGCGAGTACATGGGCAGGGCAGCGGCAGCGGCGGCAGCAGCAGCAGCAGCTTGCTGCCGCTAGTACAGAGAGAAGTGACAACAGAGGTGAGGTGAGGTGAGGTGAGCTGGATAATGAAATCTGACAAAAGTGAAACCCGGGCCTAGAAAGTTTTCATTTCAATAAGATGCAGCAGTATTTTAAGGGGCTGTTGAATGGGGACTTAACGAGGGAAATGGACCCACTCCTCTCGCACGGCCTAATATCGTGCATGCCATTCAATAACTTGTCTGACCGATTTTGCGTTAGATTCCAGTGTCCTGCTCCTGCCTACCCTCTTAGGCATTTTTCCTCCCACCATAAATCCTGTCCTGGGCTGGATGACCAATTTGTACATGTAAAAAAAAAAAAGGGGGGGGGGGGGGGGGGTTGTAATTTTGGTCCCAAATGTACCCTTTAGGGTACGGGCGATTCTAGTCCTCAAAATTTGGAGGAAATTCAATATACACCCAAACATTTCAAGTGTTAAGCACATTTAATCCTACTTATTGATTTTTGTCAACCACGACCTGGAAAAACGCTTTTAGTCGCATATATGGCATTTATCAAGAAAAACACCACTTTATCGCCAAAATTAAAATAAAAAAAATACCATAATATAATTTATAATGAAATCAACTTTTTGTCTTCTCTTAAGTCTTGTTTGGATTGCAGTTTTCTCCCAAAAAAAAAATTTATATTTTTCATGAATGCATTTTTCAATCACTTTTTTTACCTTACATTTATAAAATTGCTATGGTATATTTTTCAATTTGTCATGCACGATTAAGATTTTCTTTTTATGCAGAATGACAGTCAAATGTGTTCCTAGCAGGAGTTTGATTAAAAAAATGCATTTGCATTGACGTGCATGTGCCTTTCAATAGCAGAGTATCATTTATTCTTTCTCAAATTATTAACCTCCTGCATTAATTTATTTACCATTGCAAAAGCAGGACACACTCTATTTTGTAAGCTAAAATAACCTTCGCACTGGGTGAGCAATTGTATATTTGTGCAGAAGATTCTGCAAAGTGCAGCAATCATCCAAAGGGACATACAAAAGATTAATGATTCACATGGGACCCTATGAACTAAAAGTTTTAACTATCCATTCTCGGAATTAAGAGATGCAAAGTCCGACCCCTTTCTCCAAGGGAAATTATCATGAGAAACAGGAGCACTATGATAAAAAGAAGCATTTAAATGCGTTTTTACTTGATATACTTAATTTATTACATAAATTCATTAACACATTTGCAATTTTTATTTTTATTGAATTGAAAATAAATAAAATTTACAGATTTTTAATTTAATTTTTACTTCATTTAATTTGAAGAAACTAATACTACTTAGCGTCTTCTTAACTGATAGGACTGAAAGACGAGTACAATTACTCGATACTTGAATAGAGTTTAATTTGGTAAGAGTTTGTTTGCAGTTAATCAAACTAAGCTTCAACAGTAATTTGTATTTGATGAACTTTCAAGTTTGGTTCGAACTTGGCTCGATTAGCATATAGCAGGGCAACGGCCGTCATGCGGCCTAAGGCCGCCATGAGGGGCACCGTCGTGCGTTGTGAAGTGTAGATATAAAAATTTCAAACTACTTGAACTCGACTTGAATTCAACTCGATAAAAATTTTGTTCAAACTCGACTCAAAAAGTAAATAAGTTGAACAAAATTTAAACTTGTCAAAATAATCAAATAAGTTTGAATACTAAAGTATAGTGTCTGTTTAGACTCATTTGTACCCCTGTAATAAAAATCGATGCCTATTAAGTACCCGTTAAATAAAGTATAAAGAAAAAAACTCAATTATGCCGACTGTCATTTGTTTTTTATGTTCTAGGACAAATATATAGACCTTGTTCTAGGTTAGCGAACTCTCAATTATAGTTCTATATAGTGAGTCGAAGTAAAAAAAAAATTTTTTTTGAGGGCCAAACTACATCTAAGAATTTGGTTACAAAGATTTTCTAATAAAATGTGGCTTTTGCAAAGGCAAATTGTGTTGATCCCAGATGAAATGTCATGTATAATGTCTCATAATCACGGCAATTTCCCTAATGTTCTTTCTTTCTGATATTGCCTAAACGGCCTCCAAAATGTAAGTTTCTCTGATATTGAATTTGTACTGCGGAAGGGTCCTCAACTGCTAATTATTATTGTAGCCTTTTTTGCTTCTTCTCCCACTTAGGGGTTAAGGACTTTCTTTCCCCGCCCCGAGACCAGAAGGGGCCCAAAAATCTAACCCAGATGTTAGCGCATATCATTTTGAAGTACATCCATTTTATCATCTCATCCTCAATTGCCCGCCTTGAAGTAGACAGCCTTTTTCTATGTCGTCATTGTGCATGCATGTGTATGAGTGCATATATATATATATATCATGTGTCCTCCCTCCCGTGCCATCATTATCATACGTCTCTATCCTCAGTTTGGTATTATTCAAGGCCCCAAGAATACTCCACCCCATTAATGCCGCTTCCAAAACTAAGCCAATCTCGATAAGCAAAAAAGAAGAAGAAAGGGGTAGAAATGCAGTCAATTTCTTTCAAGAAAGTATGGGAAATTGTCAACTTCTTTCTGTTTTATTAGGCATCATCTGGCAATTGCAATCTGGTCTTTTGTCGAGGTAATGGCAGTGAAACAAGAGGATGCTCTGTGTATAAGTAGAATTAGTTGTTATACTCATCAAATATAGCTGAAAAATTAATGGGAAAACCAGTTTTTTGAATAACACTTGATTAGGGTTACTTCCCCTAGAATGATTAATTGATTGTGCCAACTTACGAAAAGATCCTCGAATTTTTAGACGAATGAATTCGTTAACATTATTGCAATTCGTCGATATTTCTAACTATTATTTAAAAACAAAAAAAAAAACAAAAAGCGAATCACCATGTCTTCTGGTACATTAATTGTTATTATTACACAATCAAGCTAGTATTAACTACTAGTATTAAATACTAAGCAAAAGGCATCATCTACCAACTGGGAAATCAAATTATAGGTGATTCATATGGCCATCATTTGGTATATTAATTAATCTATTGTGCTGGTATTCCCTTTGCAAAAAACTTCTGCAGCCTTTCTCATAACCAAGTTCAATAATTTGTTGATGCAAACTTTAAAGGGCCTCTCTCTCAGTTTAGCTAAACTATGAGCTTCCATGTCCAAATCACTAGAGAGATGCATCTATTTTTTTTTTTTTTCTCTTTACCATCCAACCCAATCCTACCGTCGTCGACAGAGCAGTTTTGTTTTCTGTTATGTATATTCCATAACCTATGTGGAACCTTTTTTTTTTTTTTTTCAAAATTTTAATTTAAGGCCATTTCAAAGCCTACTATAGTTTGTTTGCATACAATTCCAGCTCAATTTCACAAACTTGACTCGATTTTAATTAATTAAAATCCTTGTCCAATGGCCAAGCGATAGAAAAAGAGAGAGAGTAATGAACCTTTTATAAATAGTTAGTATACCAAACAAGACTTGCCACTTGGCAACACTGTGAAGAGCACTTGTTGGGGCAAAGCTTAATTAAGAAATCTAATACTATAATATACTACGAGTCTAGTCTGGATCCACCCAAACCCCAGTTGTGCCCTTGACTAGGTTGCTGCATGTGTCCATATCCCGCCATACATGTGCTTCCATTTGACTCAAAATTTGAGAGTGATTCTTCATCTTCTTCCTTTCCTTTCCTTTTGAGTTTTGAGAGCGATTCTTCATCTCCAATTAACAGTTCTTTTTGTCACAATTTAATGATTAGTTGTTCTTACAGCTCCCCTTGCACATGCTCGGTTATAATGGCTAATCTGCTTGCCCTTTTCTTGAGTTCGTGCAACCCGTTCTTTATTAATTTCAGCCAGCTAGATTGACGCAACAAACACAAATAGATAGGGACTCCTCCATGGAAACATCAATAACAACTCAAGCAAAACAATACACAATCCTGTTGACAAAAAGCCCCTACAAACTTTTTGCATCAAAGTCGCTCAAAATTCTATCCTCACCAAACCTGATTTCTATCTATCTATCGTCTTTTTTCCTCTTATCATTAGCAATTTTCGGCCCCAGAAGGGTAGGGACAAACGTATAGGGATCAATCACCACGACAAGGATCCGACCGCCAAAGCCACAACCGTATTATTGCAGCGGCCAAACAGTGCTCCCTAAACATGCAACTACGTTGCACATCATTCCAAATACATTGACATACAGGTAGATGGATATCCAAAATCAAGTAACAATTGCATGGCATATCCTGTCTATATATGGCAGGAAAACGGGGAAAATATTTCAACAAAACGCAAAGTTCCACCAACAAGAAGAGAACGACACGTTTGACTTCTGAAAAATCATGCAGTGTTTGGGTCCTTCTCAAATTGAATTAACATTATGCATTTGCTGATGAATATTCTAAAGAAATG